ATCCTGGAATATTTTCACATTATTCACTAATAGTTGTCACAATTATATAAAACTGAATATAGAGAACAAAAAAGAGAGAAAGAAAATATACCTGCTCAGATTTTAATTTCAGCTCCAACTCCAAACACTGCCTACGGAGTTCTTCCACATCCCATTGCATTTGCGTAAACCTTTCCTTTTCATTTAAAACAGCTTGCTGCATGTTTTCTTTACAATTATTCCTAGTAGTCTCAAGATCCACTTCCAAATCTTTAACCTACAACAGAAAGTGCTCTATATATTTAAAACCATGGTATTGAAACTCTATAGTGACCTTTCTGTACTGCTCTAACTAGCATGTCAATATAGATGCAAAATCTATTATGTCCAATAATGCCTTGGCTAGTGCAAGCACAGTGAACGCTCTTCAGCCATGATTCCTCACATGCAAAAATACTGCAGAGTCAGAGACAAGTAAAATACATCAAGGAGTTCAATTACAATAGATTGTGACAGAACTATATCTTCATATTCAGTCAACAATTTTATTCCTTTCTTGTGTATAGTGAAACCTTTACACAAATAAGATATGTTAAGGAACAGAAGAAGCATATGGTTGCTTATTGTACAAGAGATTCCACATAGTTTCACGGGCATGAGAATATGATGCTAAAGATAGAACCAATTGTAACCATCACACACAAGGTTCAAAGAATATACATCTCACAAGCACTAGAACAGAAGGAATGCTAACCATAAGGGTTTGTTAAGAACCATAACTTGACAAAAGAAAGAGCGTCGAAGTTATTCTTAAACCAGATCTCCTCATGAGTTTTACTATTCTATTAGGGGCTCAAAACTTGCTAGATCTGAGCTAAATAAAGTATCCCATCACATAACCTAGCCACTAAATAGCAGAAACACAAGTCGCTAAAACCTCAAAATTGTCTCATTCTAGATAAGACCTGCTCCATAAAGCAGTCCTGGTAAACTAAATACGGAGAATCGTAAAAGCCAGCATCTGTTGCTTGGGCATTGAACTGCAAAGGGGAAAATGCAGTTAAATGTTCAAAACTGGAACTCATCATGCACTAATAAAGTAAGGAGATAAAGTAATGGAAAGAAAAAAAAAAACACGTTTGGAAAAAAAAAAGAGGAAAAAGAAACTGACATGCTGGAAAAGCAACTTTTTGAAATCAATCACAGCCATTGTACCTTTTGAAATAAAATCATGAATTCTCTATTTTGAAGCTGAGATAAACCAAAAACTAGTGCTGCATATAAAAGCTCAAAAGAAAGGCAGTCAAGCATACCTTTGTCGTCAGGAATTGCCTCATGGCAACTTCTTGATTTAATCTGGCTATAAGATCCTCCATGTCTGTTTTTGCTGTAGCTAGTCTCTGTTGCACAGTATGAAGAACCCTATTCAACTTCAGACGTTCATCAGATCGAAGGGCAACTAGTAAGTCCTTTCGGAACTGTGAATTTGAGTTTGCTGGAGCATCAATTATTTTAGAAGTTCCAGCACTTTCGAGCACGTCAAGGGAATCATCACCAAACAAACCGTGAACCCCAAAATTAGAAACTTCACTAGCTTTTACAGAACTTAAGTCACTACCAATACTCCCTGTTGACAGTCTTCGCACATGACCATCCAATCTTTGATACTCTAGTCCAGGCAAAGGTTCATTTCTATCCCCAAGAAAAGATGTAGCTGCAGATAAATTCTCTGGAAGTTCATCTCCACTTATAATATTTTTCTCCTTTCCAGTGCGGATTTTACGCCAGGAAAATTTTTCTAGGTTGTCCAGAATAGATTTTCTGTTAAATATGCCATATTTGCCAGTTGTTTCAATTGGATCAGCTAAATAATGTTCGGATGTTGAAGTCTCCATGCCAAAATCAACACTACTATCTCTTGCATGCCTTGGAGTTCCAAGTTCCGATATCTCAGGAGAACCATTGCCACAATCAGATGCAATTAATGAACTACCAGCCAGCACAGAAACATCTGAGTTGGTTTGAAATTGAGCTGATGGATCTATATCACTAGCAGAAGAATTTGCATCTAGGTTTTGCTGATTTGCATCGTCAAAAACTGAAAAGTATTCAAGGCACATATCAACATGAAAAGCATTATCATTTGAATATTTAACTTATCCTCTTCAAAATATAACTTGGACTTAAGAGGGTAACAAATAAAAGAGAGACATGTCTTGGCGCTGGACTTGCCTAGTTTCTAAAACTTTTGAGATTTTTCAATTATTTGAAGTGTCAAATACCGGTCCATTTCTGAGTCTCACCCCAAATAAGCTAGGTAAAGTTCAGCAAGAAGACATTAAGTTATTTTTAAGATGTATCAGGAAAAACCTACATGACCTCACAGCAGCTTCTAGTTCAAGAAATGTTCCAACTGGAGCACTTCTAGATACATCAATATCTGATAATAGCTTTTCCATCCAATCCTCCAAAGAACATCTTCGCTGCAAGATAATAACCATTTTGAGCATATCATCATCATGTTTAACAGGAAACAATTCATCATTAGACAGAGAAAAGATGCACGATATTCTGACTCTGCAAAATCATGAATTTAAAATGTAATTCTTATGCTGTAAATAAATGAGTGGAAGAAAAATGAACGCGTGCTCAAAGTGTCATCCAAATGATTATGCTCTGAATTCATCATCATTTCACAATAGAAAAATTCACATGCATGCCTCTAAGCTTGTGTCAATGTGTTTAATCCTTTCTTCATTTTCCCCTTCGATGTTTTTTCTGGCTTTGGCAGTTGGAGAGAGGATGAGAAGAAGGTAAAAAAGGGAGGTTTTCTTTTTTCGCCTGCGGGGCCGCCTCCTCCGGGGGTGGGGCGTTTGGGGTTTTAGGGAACAAAAAGAGGAACTTATCAACAAATTTTCTTCATACGCATGCAAAAAATTATTTTCTATTCCAAAGAGCCAATAATTAAAAGAAATGCACATATACAAGAACAACAACAGCTAAGCTTACTCCCAACTAGTTTGGATCAACTATATGAATCATTTGCTTCCAATAGCCATTCTGATCAAAATAATAACAAAAAAAAGCAAAGTATAATTAACATTTGATACATTGTTAACAATAAAAATTCGCATGGATTGGGCTGCTTTCAAGATTCTAAATCCTATTTTATCATCAAATTATAAACAGCCAAGGAACGAAGAAAAAGGAAAAACTACCTTACCTCTTCCAGTAATCTCCCGCTTGTCCTTCTGAAAATGCTCTTTGGAGGAGCTGGAGGTAGAGTTTTCCCAGGAAATGTCTTCTTAAGCTACAAAAGATGATAAAATGAATTCTTGAGACCACAACCACCAAATGAGATGAGAAATAGAAAAAATACACCCAGTCAAGTATCTCAAAAAGTGACATTCACCCACTTCAGAAAGTAGCTTTAGGAATTCACTATATCTTCTCAAAATCCCTCGAGTGGTGGTGATCCCTTCTGGTGATTGTATACCAACTTGGACTCTGTAAAACTGTAGTGTCCTTAAGGAATATTAAAACAAGATTGTAAAAGTAGAAAAACTATGACTTGCTGAGATAAAAACCTACCACCAC